TGTGATCGAAGTGACTTGACTCCACTTAAAGGCCATTTAAAATTATGTAATCAACTATTTTATTGATTAAAAAGATGTTAATGATATATTCTTAACTGAAATGAGATCATGGCTGAAAAAGTGTTTGACGTGCACTTATGTCCATGTGCACATGTACACATAAATAGCATTCTGGAAGTACATACGCCAACGTAATAACCATATTTATCTCCAAGAAAATAAACAAACAAACACATTTAAACCTTTTATTCTGTCAGGCCTGGGGGCTCACATCTGTAACCCCAGCACTCTGGGTAGGCCAAGGCAGGAAAATCTCTTCAGCCCAAGAGTTTGAGAGGGCAGCATAGGGAGACCCCCACTTATAAATAATTCTTTTTAATTAGCTGGGTGTGGTGGCATATGCCTGTGGTCCCAGCTACTGGGGAGGCTAGGGTGGGAGGATCACTTGAGCCGAGCCTGGGAGGCTGAGGCTGCAGTGAGCAGTGTCTGCATGGCAGAAGATAATTGGATCATGGGGGAAGTTCCCCCAGTGCTGTTTTCATGATACTGAGTGAGTTCTCACAAGATCAGATAGGTTTTTTTTTTTTGGTTTTTTGGGGTTTTTTTTGGAGACAGAGTCTCACTCTGCTGTTACCAGGTGCCATGCTGGAATGCAGTGGCACAATCTCAGCTCACTGCAACCTCCGTCTCCCGGGTTCAAGCAATTCTCCTGCCTCAGCCTCCTGAGTAGCTGGGTCTACAGGCACGCGCCACCATGCCCAGCTAATTTTTGTATTTTTAGTAGAGACGGGGTTTCACCATGTTGGCCAGGATGGTCCCCATCTCTTGACCTCGTGATCCGCCCACCTTGGCCTCCCAAAGTGCTGGAATTACAGGCGTGAGTCACTGCGCCAGGCCGATCAGATGGTTTTATAAAGCAGTTTTCCATGCTCTTGCTAGCGCTCTCTTTCCTGCCACCATGTGAAAAGGTCTTTGCTTCCCCGTCACCTTCTGCCATAATTGTAAGTTTCTTGAGGCCTCCTCAGCCATGTTGAACTGGAACTGTGGTTGGCTGAACCTCTTGTTTTAATATAAATTATCCAGTCTTAGACAGTTTTCTGTGTGTGCGTGTGTGTGTGCGCGCGCGCACGCACGTGTGTGTCAGAATCTCACTCTCTCACCCAGGCTGGAGTGCAGTGGCGTGATCTTGCCTCACTGCAACCTCCACCTCCCGAGCTCAAGCCATTCTCCTGCCTCACCATCCCAAGTAGCTGGGATTACAGGTGCCTGCCACCACACCTGGCTAATTTTTTGTATTTTGATTAGAGACAGGGTTTCACTGAGTTGGCCAGGTGGGTCTCGAACTCCTGACCTCAGGTGATCCACCCACCTTGGCCTCCCAAAGTGCTGCGATTACAGGCGTGAGAATCTGGCCTCAGGCAGTTCTTTATAGCAATGTGAGAATGGACTAATACAGGAAGTTGGTGCTGCAGAAAGTGGGGTAGTGCGATACCGGGACCAGAAAATGTGGAAGCAACTTTGAAACTAGGTAACAGACAGACATTAGAATAGTTTGGAGGGCTTGGAAGAAGACGGGAAAATCTGGGAAAGTTTGGAACTCCCTAGAGACTTGTCAAATGGTTTTGACCAAAATGCTGTTAGTGATGTAGACAATGAAGTCCAGGCTGAGGTGGTCTCAGATGGAGATGGGGAACTTCTTGGAAATTGGAGCAAAGGTCACTCTTGTTAAGCTCTAGCAGAGCAACTGATGGCATTTTGCCCCAGCCCTGGATATCTGTGGAACTTTGAACTTGAGAGAGAGGATCTGAAATTGGAACTTATGTTTAAAAGGGAAGCAGAGCATAAAAGCTTGGAAAATGTGCAGCCTGTCAACATGATGGCAAATAAAAACCCATTTTCTGGGGAGAAATTCAGGCTGACTAGAGAAATTGCATAAGTAACTAGGAGCTGAATGTTAATTACTTTACCAAGACAATGGGGAAAATGTCTCCAGGACACGTCAGAGACTTTCTTTTTTTTTTTTTTTATTGCATTTTAGGTTTTGGGGTACATGTGAAGAACATGCAAGATTGTTGCATAGGTACACACATGGCAGTGTGATTTGCTGCCTTCCTCCCCCTCACCTATATCTGGCATTTCTCCCCATGCTATCTCTCCCCAACTCCCCACCCCCCGCTGTCCCTCCCCTATTTCCCCCCAACAGACCATCGATGATAGACTGGACAGAGAAAATGTGGCACATATACACCATGGAATATTATGCACCATCAAAAACGATGAGTTCATGTCAGAGACTTTCACAGCAGTCCCTCCCATCACAGATCCAGAGGCCTTGGAGGGGAAAATGGTCTCCTGTGCCAGGTCCAGCATTCCCCTGCTGAGTGCAGCCTTGCATTTGGTGCCCTGCACCCTAGCCACTCCAGCTGTGGTTAAAAGGGGCCAAGGTACAGCTCAGGCTGCTGCTTCAGAAGGTGCAAGCCCCAAGCCTTGGCAGCTCCCATGTGGTGTTGGTCCTGTGGGTGCACAGAAGACCAGAATTGAGGTTTGGGAACCTCTGCCTAGGTTTCAGGAGATGTATGGAGACACCTGGATGTGCAGGCAGAAGTTTGCTGCAGGGGTGGAGCCCTCATAGAGAACCTCTGCTAGGGCTGTGCAGAAGGGAAACATGGGGTTGGAACCCCCACAGAGAGTCCCTACTGGGGCACTGCCTAGTGGAGCTATGAGAAGAGAGCCACTGTCTTCCAGAGCCCAGAATGGTAGATGCACCCACAGCTTGCACTGTGCACCTGGAAAAGCTGCAGACACGCGACACTAGCCATGAAAGCAGCTAGTGTATTGGGGGTGGGGCATGGGGCTAGGGCTAAAAAGCCTCAGGGGCAGAGCTGCCCAAGGCCAGGGGAGCCTACCCTTTGCATCAGTGTGCCCTGAATGTAAGACATGAAGTCAAAGGAGATTATTTTGGGGCTTTTAGATTTAATTTTGAATTTGGGGCTTGCATGGGACCTGCAGCCCCTTTGTTTTGGCCAATTTCTCCCATTTGGAATGGGGGCATTTATCCAATGGCTGTACCCTCATTGTATCTTGGAAATAACTGTCTTGCTTTTGATTTTACAGGCTCATAGGTAGAAGGGACTTGCCTTCAGATGAGATTTTGGGCTTGGACTTTTGGGTTTAATGCTGGAAAGAATTAAGACTTTGTTGGGAAGGCATGATTGTGTTTTGAAATGTGAGGACGTGAGATTTGGGAGGGGCTGGGGTGGAATGATATGGTTTGGCCGTGTCCCCACCCAAATCTCATCTTGAATCATAATCCTCATAATCCCTTGGCAAGGGAGGGACCTGGTGGGAGGATCATGGGGGTGGTTTCCCCCATGCTGTTCTCATGATGAGTTCTCATGAGATCTGATGGTTTTATAAGGCAGTCTTTCCTGCTTTTGCTAGCTCTCTCTTTCCTACCACCGTGTGAAGATCTTTGCTTACCCTTCCCCTTTCACCATGATTGTAAGTTTTCTGAGTCCTTCTCAGCCATGCAGAACTGTGAGTCAATTAAACCTCTTTTATTTGTAAGTTACCCAGGCTTGGGCAGTTCTTTATAGCAGTGTGAGAGCAAACTAACACATCCCTCTTCCTTTTTATTTCTACTAAGTCAAAGTCAGTGCTTACATAAGTAATTAATTACAGTATTAGTTATGAGTAATATTTTGGGGGGATTTTCCTCTTCATGAAATAGAGAATATAGCTGCCCTTGGGCATTTGAATATCCAAGACAGATGAGGAATAAACAGAGCATTAGAGAATTCCAGCATCTTTGCTTTCAGGGGAAAACAATTAGTGACAGAGTTCCATAAAGTTAAAACCCAGAGCATAAAGCTGACCTCAGCGATCAGTCTTCACCCATGTAACCAAAACTGCAACCTACCCGCTTCTGCCCTTCTCACTGACATCACATTCACATGCACATCACACACGTACCAGCTCAGAACCAGCTACTAAAGGGAATTAAGGTCCAGCCTCACATCAGGATTATGAGCTCTGGCATCGGAATGAACTGGGCTCTGGCCCTAATTCTGCCACCACACCAGAAAGCTACAGAACTCTCTAAATTTTGTTTTATATCTAGAAAGTGCAGGGAAAAATCGTTCTCTGATGGTTAATGTTAGGTGCCAGCTTGACTGGATTAAGGGACATCCAGACAGCTGGTAAAGTATTATTTCTTTCTGCACAGGTGTGTCTGTTAAAGTGATTCTGGAAGAAATGGGCATTTGAATCAGTAGACTGAGTAAGGAAGATCCACCTTCACCCAATGTGGGCAGGTACCAACTGGCTGAAGACCTGGATAGATGAAAAAGGCCGAGGAAAAGAGAATTCTCTCTCTCTCTCTCTCTCTGTCTCTCTCTGTCTCTCTCTCTCTCTCTCTCTCTCTCTCTCTCTGTCTCTCTCCCCCCACCCCACCACCAAAGCTGGGATGCCCTTTTTTCCTGCCTTGGACATTAGAACTGCAGGTTCTGTGTGGCCTTTTGAGTCCCAGACTTGCACCAGTGACTCTCCCCTACCCTACCTTCAGCCTAGGACTAAAAGTTATATCATCAGCTTCCCTGGTTCTGAGGCTTTCAAATTTGGACCAAGCCACCCTCCTGGCTTCCCTGGTTCTGAGGCTTTGAGCTTGAACTGAGCCACACTACGGGTTTCCTTGGTTCTCTCGCCTGGAGACAGTTTATGTTGGGATTTCTCTGCCTCCATATCACGTAAGCCAATTCCCCTAATACATCCTCTCTCACATGCCTCTGTCTCTATTTATCTCTATCTCTATCTATCTTTATCCCTATCCTATTGGTTCTTTCTCTCTGGAGAATCCTAATACAAGGTCCCACCTCAGAGTGGTGAAGCTTATTTTAGGTAATGCATTAAAGCATCCAGCATAGTCCTTGGCATGTTAATTACCAGCTCTCCTTAAATGATGGCCATGAGGCATACTTACATAATTACTTCTGATAAGAAAGTAAACTCAAGAGTCATACCAATGACTTTTATTTAAGATGATTTGTGAGTTGATGTGTAAGAAGGGTTGGGGAAGCTATGTGGGTGGCTCTTTAAATATCTTATATTACATTTTCAAATTTGTCTTTATTCTATTAAAGTACCTGTTATTCTCTTTATTTCCATAAAAGGGCAACCAAGCAGATTGTACCCTCAACTAAGATGCCAGGAGCAATTAAGGTATGATGCAAGACATCTTGGAACAGCTACATACCCTGCCCGCTGCACTCACTCAGCATCTGCAGTTGCTTTTTACAGCTGCTCCTCACTGTCCCCACCACCCCCATCCATATCTCGAAATGGTGTATTAGGGCTCAAAGAAAAAACAATAAAACAGTCGCATGTGATGTCAGGATGCGGAAGCGGAATACTATTCAGGCCCTTTTTCAAACAGGGGAGCCATGTGTGCGTCTCCATGTTCTTCTTTCCTGGAGCTTCCTTCCTCTTCTACTTTCTTTCGGGATTTTATCTCCATTCTCAGGCATTCTCTTTCATTTCTCTCCTTTCTGCTTTCAGGTCCCTGAAAGGGAAAGATTAGAAACAGGTAAAAAAAATTCACAAGCAGCTGGTAACACTCCACATTTCTCTTAATAATCAGACACGAAGAAAGCCCTGATGGTTTAACAGACTTCCATATCTTGGTTCCTAGAAATAAATTAGCATAAACCTAAGGATGTTGTTAAAGGTTTTGGTCACAAAGAAAAGACATAGCGGAGCTTGGGCACCAGCCGATGGTCTGGGAAGGAAGTATAACCTACACATGCCTGCCACTGTGTCTCTGAACATACTGAGGGGTGTGATTTCATAGCACAATGAAATTAATAGTTTCCTGGTGTTATTTGAAAAGGAAAGTGGTGAGTGAGATCACACGTGGAATGATTCTTAGCTCTCTATGTTCACTTTCTTAAATTACATTAATAGTAGAGTTTGCACTAAAGGTTGATGTGAGAACTGTGGGAAGAATGAAGTGTTAAGGAATGACACTCAGCCGGATTTACACTCCCCCAACATGTGTCCCCGGAATTCCACATTATTCACTGATTAGTTGAACATATACAACTGTTGTAGGATCAGGAGATATGACACTAAATAGAACTACTTCCTAGATATTACACTGAGGTGGAAGGATACAAGTGATCAACAAGGCTAAAAGGAAATGAAAGAATAATCAATAGGGATAAGTGCAATGGTAACTGGAAACAGAGGAATATGATAAGGACCTCCGGGGCGGGGGAGGTGGGGGTTACTTCTTTAGTTTGTGTGGCCAGAGGGTGCCTTTCAAAAGAATTATCAAAACAATGGCATTGATATATGTGGCAACGCTATCTACTTATGCTTCTGTTTTTAAAAAATAAACAAGCAAAATCAACACTCCTCTCCTATTTGAACTAGAAATGTTGGGAAACCCCTGGGTATCTATCACGGGAGTTTATGCAATGGTGAGTGGCAGTCACATGAGCAAGGTCATGCTTGCTCAGCTGCGCTAGTTGAGAGTTACGGAGGCATCTGTTTACCACAGTGGTGTCAGCCACTCCACAATGTTAATGCAGTCATGAAGGTCCCTTACCAAAATGGTATAACAACGAGAAAATCGAGTGATGATTAAAGACTATCTGAGAAATGCTTGTAAATAATGCTCTAAACTACTTTTATCACATCACTTAGAAACTAAATGTGAAAATTATCAGTATCAGTCAACTGAATTTTTAAATATCAAAATGAAAGAATTTAACATTGTTGGTCATGATCAGGCCACAAAAACAGTTTCTGACTATGTCAAACTATGTAAAATTTCAAACTAGCTATTAGTATACCTTCGGTACCCAAACAAAAGGCTATATAAATCAGTTTTAAATTTGCTGAAAAAGAACAATTTCTAATGTAGTTAGCCTTAGGAAAGTGTGTAGATAGTCAAATAGGGAAAAGTTGAAGTGTATCTGTGTATGTTCTGAATTTCTAATTTTTCATTAAGATTTTATAATGTACTCTTTAAAAACTGATATAAAATATTTAATTTAAAAGTAGTTATATAATATGCAAATTTTAAAATAACTTTATAAATTCTTAACAGGTTTCTAGTTATTATATATAACTGTGAAAAAGAGTTTTTGAGTTTAAAAAGTTGAAAATCCTTCCCTAATTATCTTGGAACGTGGAAAGGAAGAACGTGGAAAATGAATGCAACAAGCATACTTTATATTTTACAGATAAGATGATGAATATCTCTTTAAGCAAAATGACTTTATGTTTATATACTTTTTGGGCTTATAATAATATTAGCAGATGGATTATGAGTTGTTAAACAAAAGCCTTTCTGGGCCAGGAGTGGTGGCTCACGCCTGTAATCCCAGCACTTCAGGAGGCCGAGGCAGGCGGATCACTTGAGGTCAGGTTTCGAGGCCAGCCTGGCCAGCATGGTGAAACCCTGTCTCTAGTAAAAATACAAAAATTAGCCAGGTGTGGTGGTGGGTGCCTATAATCCCAGCTACCCAGGAGGCTGAGGCAGGAGAATCACTTGAACAGGGAAATAGAGGTTGCAGTGAGTCGAGATTGCATCACTGCACTCCAGCCTGGGCGACAGAGCAACATTGTGTGTGTGTGTGTGTGTGTGTGTGTGTGTGTGTGTGTGTGTGTGTGTTTTAATTTCTGAAGCCATTAGAATCAATAAAGAACTGTTCAGATTACATTTTTTTTTCAAGAGATATTTATACAGTACCTTGTTCCAGGAAGGATTTGAGTTGAGTAAGTCTCCTGAATTAAGATACATTTTAACATGTCGGTTTTAAAACAGGGATTATCTCACTTTTGTTTTATTCTTGCAAAAGATTCATAAACTGAATCTAATCATATGGAAATATCAGAAAAATTCAAACTGAGGCTCATTCTTTTTTTATTTTTTTATTTTTCTTTTTTATTATTATTATTTTTTTGAGATGGAGTCATTCTCTGTTGCTCAGGCTAAAGTGCAATGTAGTTGCTCAGCTAACTACAGCCTCCACCTCCCGGCTTCCACCAATTCTCCTGTCTCAGCCTCCCAAGTAGCTGGGATTACAGGTGCAGACCACCATGTGTGGCTAATTTTTGTATTTTTTAGTAGAGACAGGGTTTCACCCTGTTGACCAGGCTGGTCTTGGACTCCCAGCCCAAACTGAGGCTCATTTTAAAAAATAACTGGCCTTACTCTTCAGAAAATGCTAATGTCATGAAATACAAGGAAAGACTGAGAAAGTGCTCCAGGGTAAAATAGACATCAGAGACATGAACATGGGTAGCAACATGATTTCAAATTTCACTATAAAGAATATTATTGGGAGAACTGGCAAAAAATATAAATCAGGTTTATAGATTAGCGTTAATAGTATTATATCAGTATTAATTTTTTTTAGTTTAATGATTGCATTGTGTTTATGTCAGAGAATGTTCTTGTGCCTGTGTTTGGATATGGGAGGAGAGATTGTGTAGGCAAATACAGACATATGAACATTCGGAGGTAATCTAGGGGAAGGGTGTATGGGAATTCTTTGTCTTAGTCTTAACAACATTTCTCTAGGCCTGAGACAATATGAAAACAAACAATATTTTTTAAAAAGACAAAACAGAAATTCTTTTTTTTTTTTTTGAGAGTCTTGCTCTATTGCCCAGGCTGGTTATAGAACAATGGCTCCAATCTCCAATCATAGCTGACTGCAGTCTCAAACCCAGGTGCAAGGGATCCTCCCACCTCAGCCTCCCAAGCAGTGAGGAATACAGAGGCAGGCCACCACGCCTGGCTAATTTTTTTTTTTTTTTATTTTCATAGATACGGGATCTCACTAGTTTGCCCAGGTTGGTCTCAAATTCCTAGCCTCAAAGGACCCTCTGGACTCAACCTCCCAAAGTGCTGGGATTACAGGAATTCTTAATAATAAGGTTTAGATACAGTAAAATGACAACTGTTCACTATTCTCCCTTCCTTGTTCCTCTAATCATCAGCCAGGCAAAGATACACAGTGACAGTCCCAACAGCCAGTCTGCTAGGTAGAGAGCACTGTGCTCAGATGGACAATGAAATGCAAAGCACCGGGTGTCTTCACAGTGCACTCACAGAGTCTAGCACCAGAACCAGGAGTCATTACACTTAGGTTCAATTATTTGCTTTGTCTACTGCATGGCAGCAACCCGTTATTATTCCTGTTTTGCAAAATAAAACAAGAAAACCAAAGACCTACGAAAAAAAGAAGCATTTTGTTCAAGGCCAGTCAGTGAGCATGCAGCAGAGTTGAAACTACCGCACATTAATTGATCTTTAGTTTATTACCTCATGTACGAAGTTTAGTATCACCAATGGAGTTTCTATTCTTCTCCCCATTTCATGCCGTCTCTTCTTTTTGCTTTACTTAGACTCTCGTGAGGTCACTGTGAGCACCTGGCCCACTCCTATTCCTGGATACCTACCAGGCAGTGTTTATTCGTTCTTGTGTTTTTTTTAAGTACAGGGGAACAAAACACCATCATGGACTATTTCCTAGTGGATTACATATGAAAGGAGAGAAGCCAGCCAGTGCGGTGGCTCACACCTGTAATCCCAGAACTTTGAGAGGCCGAGGCGTGAAGATCACAAGGTCAAGAGTTCGAGACCAGCCTGGCCAACATGGTGAAATCCCGTCTCTACTAAAAATACAAAAATTAGCTGGGCGTGGTGGTTCATGCCTGTAGTCTCAGCTACTCGGGAGGCTGAGGCAAGAGAATCAGAATCGCTTGAACCCAGGAGGCAGAGGTTGCAGTGAGCCGAGATCGCGCCACTGCACTCCAACCTAGGTGACAGAGCTAGACTCCACCTCAAAAAAGAAAGAAATGAGAGAAGCCATAGGGGCAGTGTTTTGTTTTGTTTTTTTCCAAATTGTAAAAAAAGGAAGGAGTTACAATTATTTATAAGATTGATGAAAGGAGGCTCAAGAAACTAGGGGGCTGAGTGTGGTGGCTCACACCTGGAATCCTAGCACTTTGGGAGGCCGAGGCAGGAGCACTGCTTGAGCCCAGAAGTTTGAAACCAGCCTGGGCAACATAACAAGACCCTGTCTCTAGAAAAAAAGAGTTTAAAATTTAGTCAGGCATGGTGGCACATGCCTCCAGTCCCGGCTACTCAGGAGGCTGAGGTAGGAGGATCACTTGAGACCAGCAGTTCGAGGCTGTAGTGAGCCATGATCAGGCCACTGCACTCCAGCCTGGGCACAGAGTGAGATCCTATCTGAAAGAAGAAAGAAAGAAAAAAAAAAAGAAAGAAAAGAAGAAAGAAAGAAAAGAAAGAAAGAAAGAAAGAGAGAGAGAGAGAGAGAAAGAAAGAAAGAAAGAAAGAAAGAGAGAGAGAGAGAAAGAAAGAAAGGAAAGAAAGAAAGAAAGGAAAGAGAGAGAGAGAAAGAAAGAAAAGAAAGAAAGAAAGAAAGAAAGAAAGAGAGAGAGAGAAAGAAAGAAAGAAAGGAAAAGAAAGAAAGAAAGAAATTGAAAAGAAAAGAAAAAAGAAAAACTAGGAGACCTTGGTAACAAATATGTTCCAGGAACTCTTCCTATACCAGATGTCCTCAATTATAAATAATAATTTTAAAAAATTCATTCTGGGTTATGTTAAACTGAGTGTTACTTTTCAAAGACCTTATTACCAAGTTGTAAGTGAAGAAGTTACATTTGTTCCCCTCTAACTTAAAGAGAACAAAACCTTTGGATTTCCTTTTCTAAAGCGGCTTAAATATTCAGTAGCTCTGTTACATACCAAAGAGGCAGAACGTTTGGTTCTAAAGCACAGTTGCTGTTCAAAGGACTCAGAAAATTTCTCAATTTTGGAATGGGATCTTCCTTTTGATTCCAGCGGCTCCTTGAATGATCCATCCTCTGAGTATTTTCTGCAATCCCGCATGTGGCTACGGCATCGAAATTCCTGGTCCTCATGAGAATGCCTTCTAGGGAGACGGTCAGATGATCGGCATCGGAATTCCTGGTCCTCATGAGAATGCCTTCTAGGATGGCGGTCAGATGATGGAATTCTGGGAAGCACAGGAAGCTGAGAATACAGAATGAAAAATTGTATAATATAAAGAGACTATACAATATTAGCATAGAGGCAGAATGTCTATAAACTACTAACTAAATAAATCTCATGTTGAGTTGATATGTTATCTTTGTAAAGGGGAAATAAATCTTGGGACCCGCAAATCACTAAGCTAAATGGAAAAGTCAAGCTGGGAACTCCTTAGGGCCAATATGCCTCCCATTCTTTCAAAGTCACTCCTATGCCCATTTGTTTATCTCATGCATTGAGACAAATGCATATCTGATTACCTCCTTTGGAGAGGCTAAACAGAAACTCAAAAACTCATTTGTCTCTTAACTACCCATGACCTGGAAGCCCTGCCCACTTTGGGTCTTCCCACCTTTGCTTTGAGTTGTCCTGCCTTTCCAAATCGAACCAATGTTCATCTCGCATATGTCGATTGATGTCTCATATCTCCCTAGAATATATAAAACCAAACTGTGCCCTGACTCTCTTGGGCACATGTCATCAGGACCTCCTGAGTCTGTGTCATGGTTATGAATCTTCAGCCGTGGCAAAATAAAATTTTTAAATTAACTGAGACCTATCTCAGATTTTGGGGGCTCACATTTTGGCAACCATGAAGGGATTCTGAGTGGAGGTACCCCTGACCTTTGACAAATCTTTTATCGGTGCTTGGCACCAGCATGAGCTAATTTTATGACTCAAACTGAGGAAAGAGACCCAAGCATCTAAGATCAGCTCCCCCTTGACTTCCACACTGCATTTCAATAGAAGAAAAGGCTGGCCAACTGGCACCTCCTTAATTGCCTTCCCATAGATGGCATGCATAATATGGGGGAATCTTTCTGGAAGGCATTGTTTTCACTTAAACAAGATCAAACCCCCACACCCCTCCTACTCCATCGACCAAACCCTTTCATGTATAATATCTAGAGTTGTAAGCCTGTATAAAGGCAGAGCTTCTTTTTGTTAGATGAGCTTGGCTGTTAGACAACTATGTCACCTTGTTCCCGGCTGAAATAAATTACTTCTTCCTTCCTAGTTCGGTGTCCAAAAAGTCTGTTTCTTGTGGCCGCTCCTGCTTCAAAACCAATAGGGCGATTTACTGAGGTCTGAGAGCACCTCTTCCAGAGAATCCTTGTTCTCCCAAAATTTGGTCAAGATCTAAAGTTTATTTTTCTGTACCCCTCCTCTTTTTTTTTTTGAGTTTTACTTGCTTCCCACAAGGAAGGCAAGATTTCCTGTTTCCGTGATGATGGAAGGCAGGTAACTCCTTTATGGAGTTTGCACTCACTTCCAACAGGGAAGATGAGGGGTTTTTTTCCCCTTTTTCTTAGGATGGTAGAGAGCAGTCTATAGCCTGAGACTCATCCCTAAGTAAGTAACTGAATTGGGGTTTATCTTGGCTAAAGTTATGATTAACATCCAGCTGGCATTCATTTCTTTTTGCCCTTAGAGCACCTAGTGACCACATAAGTTGTGCAATCATTTGTTTTGCTTAATAATTTTTATTGTTGATTGTTTCTGTTTTTGTTGTTGTTTCAATCTTTTTCCCAATGGGTTTCATCAACTCCACCTGACTTGATCAAATCCAAAGGAAATTTCCAAAATTATGAAAAAAAAAAGGAAATATTTTTTCTTTTGACTACTGACGAGGCCTTGTTTACATAACAAGGCCATCCTTTTGCTAGCCAAGCCAAACTGAAAGCAACTGAAAGCTGTTACCCCACGTTGCAGTTTGATAGCTAAGGTCCTGCCTTCTTTTTTCCACCATGACAGCCTGGCTTTTGGTTCTGAAATAAAGCCCTTTCTGGTTTGATACTTGGTACTTCTGTAATAACCACAATTTGTCCTAGCTAAAATATGGTAATAAAATTTTAAAAGTTTTTTTTTAAGGATCTCAATGATTAAAAAAGCTTACATCCAAGATGTGTGTATATATATGCATATGTGTGTATGTTTGTGTTTAAAAGGCCTTCGTGTTTTGTTTTGTTTCTGTCTCTTAGGACCTTGTCCTTTTTTAAGCAAAAGTTTTTTTCTTCTCAGTTGACTAAATCCTGCTTTATTCATTTACTTCTGCTGTCTCTCCTTTCTCTTACACCCACTGCTGCATGAGGGACCTAAAATAGTTTATAATAGCCCAGGGTTCTTTAACAAAAACAGAGAAGGTGCTAGTCTCCCTTTGGGGAGAAACCTGTTTTTCCTTATGGAACCACAAGAGTGTAAACAGACAAGTTCATCTCAGCTTTTAAACTGCTTGATTTTGTATTGTGTCACCTGATTTATTTATTAAAATAGTGACTGCAACAGAGGCTACTTGGGTTTGTAAAGAAGAGTGTAATGTCTTTGTTTTTTAAAAAATTTGTTTTAAGTGCACTGTAAAAACATCACATGATCTAGCCTCCAAAAATTCTCCATTTTTGGAAACTCAGGACTCAGTGTGGGCTCTGCCCAAAGCTCAGACATCCAGTTAAGACAGGCAGTCCCTATGTAAATAAAATTAGTCTCCTTATACAATCCTATGACAGATTTGTATAATTTTATGTTTTATTTGGCAACTACCTTTAATCTCCCTCTAGCACACCAGACTTTTTCTCTCCATACCTTATAATGTAGTTTTTGCTATTACATTTTTCACCTGAGTTGTTTTCTTTAATATGCAAATTTAAGGCTATTTAACTGACAACTGCCTAGGGTTGTGAAACAGGTTATCAAGAATCTGAAGTCTAAGATAGAAGAAAAAAAAGATTTTTGTGAATCTATAAGATGTACTTCTATCAGCATGCCTAACACCTCTTTGTATTTATGTGTTGTATACACAATGTTTTACTACTGAAAATATATAAAAGAGCTCTAATTAATTTGCTTAAAGAAAAATAAAAGCACTTGAATCAAATACTTTATCAGGAAAAAAGAAAAGACTAGTCAAATGCTTTTTCAACTTTATGTAACTTAAGTAAAATCTTAAGCTAACCTTAAAATTATTGGTAAAGTAATATCAGAAATGTTTTAAGAACTGCCAGCATACATTTTCATTTGAATTTATTAATCAAGTAATTTCATGCCTGTCCCTGCCAAATACTAAAAGGTGACAAAATTTGACACAGGGATTACAAAACTATTATCCTAGCCAAAAACAGAATGATCTTTACTTGTGTAATCTTTAATAAATAAGACATTGATATTGGTTTAATAAAAATAGCTACATCTTGACTTTAGTAAGATTACCATAACTTGTAATCTCTGGCTGTAGGCAGTCTAGTCCACAAGCAGTGAGGCTTGTTTTGGGAAAGGACTGTTATTGTTTTTGTTTCAAAGCTACATTATAAACTGAGTTCCTCCCAAAGTGAGTTCAGCCTATGCCCAGGAATAAACAAGGACATGGAGTCAGTAAGGTCAAATATTTTTCACTGTCTCAGTTATAATTTTGCAATGGTGCTTCCATAACTTTAAATGATGACTATCACAGTTTTCACAAATAATCTAGGTAAACAATTAAAATAATTAGGTAAATGTAATGGGATAAATACTTGTAGACAAACTTGCCATAATTTAGAATCCAAAGTTAAATTAAATAATAGATATTTCATTATTTGGTTATTTTCTAATAAAAATATATTTGTAGGAAAACATTCTTTCTTAAAGAAAAGGTATGGCATTTCAAAAAAAGAAGAACAATTTTTGTCTAATTCAAAGCTTATTTAAAGATCATGTATAAAACAAGGTAACAGGAACCAGGAAATAGGAGGGATATAAGAAAAAGTTATAAAAATAATGAGGGTTTTTTCTTTTTTTTGGTAAGAAAGATTAAAGAGAAATAATTTCATAGGAGGAAGAGTCTTGTATAGTAAATTTAGTCCTAGAGAAAAATGACTGGTTGTGTAAGAAAGAGGGATGCTCAGGACAAACTGGAAAATCCAAGCATGTCATGAATGATCTGTGTAAGTCATTATAAGAGGATTTGTTTTTTTAAAAACCAAAAACTTTTATATGATCAAGTTGTCATAATATTATTAGGTTTTGGTTTGCTTTAAAAAACTGAAATTTTAAAACTTTTTAATTAAAGTTATTAAATCGTGTATCTCTCTGCATGCGCTTTTAAAGTACTTGTAACACTGAATTACAGGCTTTGACTCCTGGACTTAAAAAGAAAACCAAGTCCTGATAGCAATTAAAGCCCCATCTTTAGGCCCTGCAGAAAATGTCAATCAAAATAAACTGCATTCCTGAGACACAAGGCCAGAAATTTGAGCTATTCAACTCCTCAAGGCCTGGGGACTATCAAGAAAGAGGTGGGTGTGCAAGATTGTAAGGGCCAATTTTGAGAGATAAAATAAGTTCAGCTTCTCCATAATTTTTTTAGAGGAAGTCTCACTCTGTCACCCAGGCTGGAGTATAGTGCTGCAATCTCAACTCATTGCAATCTCTGGCACCTGGGTTCAAGTGATTCTCCTGCCTCAGCCTCCCAAGTAGCTGAGGTTACAGGTACCTACCACCAAGCCTGGCTAATTTTTGTGTTTTAGTAGAGATGGGGTTTCACCATGTTGGTCAGCCTGGTCTGAAACTCCTGACTGCAAATGATCTGCCTGCCTTGGCCTCCCAAAGTGCTGGGATTACAGGCATGATCCACTGCACCTGGCCAGTTTCTCTATAAATAAATCATCAATGTCAAAGGCACATTGATGCGAGACCAGCATCTATGTGCTCCTATGTCAAAGTAACAAGGTTTTCTTGAAGCATTAGCCAACTTCTTAATAAAGTTTATAAAAGGCTTATGGAAGTTATACCTTATGGTCAAGATTAAAAATTTTATAGATTGCTTATAAAATTTTAAAAAACAAATTTAATTGGCTTCTTGCTGTTTTTATTAGGGATTATTGTTTGGAAAATAAGTCTCCTAACTCAAAGAATGAAGATTTCACCTTTTTAAAAAAATTCCTTTGGGTTATCACTTTGGTTAAACAAAATGACTTATTTTTCAGTGACCTGTGATCCTATATTGTGAT